TTTATTTGTTTATCCAAGCTGTGATACAAGAAGCAAAAGGCGAGGGGGAGACGCTCTTACTATGAGGATTACAGGGATATGAGGATCAGTTTCTCTCGGAACAAAACAAATAAATTTGTCCATTAAAATCCATCTAGTCAATATGAATGAAACTCAAATTTCAAAAGTGTGTTTTTGGTATTTTTTTTTTTTCCCCCGACTTGGGATGTGGAAATTACCTACCGACAAGGTGGTCGGTATAGTCACATGAACCCACGTTCTGATTGCGGAATAGGGGCCGACATTTTACCAGACGCACCAATTTTTAAATAAACATTGTCATCATATCAAAGCTCGATGCAATAAACTATCTGGTAATTTATAGTCCCAAAAACAATAAGACAAACAAAGATTTTCATGAGCAATGGCCTTTATAATATAATTAGGGAAGACTTGAAGCTGACTTGACTCCTTATATATGTGATGCATAGTACATAAGGCATGAAGCGCTTCGTGGACAAGTTTACAAGGGAAGTTGAGTTATATTCTCACGAATCTCTTGAACATCAATCAAACCATCAGGTTAGTTATCTTCTTTTACCATCTCTTTTCTGATATATGCTACTTCAAATTTTTTGCTACCTCTTATTCCATTCTATTCTATGACTTTGCCTTCAGCATCAGATTCATGAGTTTAGTTCAGGCATTAAACAGGATAAAACTTTTTCTAATGATTTTGATTTAATTTTGTGCATCACTATGCCATGGTTTCATATATTTAAGCATGGTTGCTCCTTATTTTCCCCAAATTGTATTATAATTTTGACTGCTTTTACACTCCCAGATAAGACAACTGAATATATCGTATCGCCAACGATTATATCTGACATCTAATCATATATCTATCAGTCGGAATTATTTTAGGCTTCGATTAATATTTGATATTTTGTAGCATCAACTTAAATTTAATCAACCCTAAACCCCTTTTCATATAATTAATATTTGATATTTTGTAGTATCAACTTAGATTTAAACGTCGTGTTCTACCAGCCTAATTTTTTTTCCCTACTCATAAGGTTTGAATTTTCTTTCTTTTCTTTTAATGTTTTAGTTTTTAAATTTTTAATATTTTATTTTTTTGAAACGAATATATAATAATAAAAAGTAAAATTATAAAGATTTTACATGATATTGTAAGAAGACAAGATGATTTTTCTTTAGTAGAAATGCACACAGTAACCAGTATTTTTAATATCATTAACTTATAATAACTCAAAATAATCATTCGGTACTTTTTTATTTTATCAATGAAAAAGACAGATCAAGAGGAGATTCGAAAACAATGTTATAAGTGACATGAAGTTGGTGAGTTAATCAATTAGGTCCCTTTTTGTTATATGGATGGTTAAGGTTTATCTCTACACTTCAGTTTCGCAACGAGGAAGTTCGACGAAGAAGGTTAATTAATTATCTCTTTTTCTTACGTGGTACCCGTAACTTAAGGTCTTAGGTTTTACTAATTTTTGAAAATTTGCACTTCTGAATTGAGAAAATTTCAGATAGGCCCCACTATAGCACCTTAATTTCAAATAGCTCCAAAAGATTCTGCATTTTCACTACACTACTCCCTTGAACTAAAATAAAATTAAACTCTATGGATGAAAAAAAAAACATTAGGGCCCTTACTTCATTATATTTTTTTGAAAAAAATGATCAACTGTTCCTAGAGCTCTGGCCATTGGAGCGCCGACTACCAAAGATATTTTGCCAATAAGGTAGCTCGAGGGTTTGAACCCGTAGTCTCTTAGCACATCAAAAAATTCTAGCACACCCAAAAATTCTCGCACCAAGTAATCCAATTCATTTAATTATATAATGCATAAAGAAATATACAGTACTACAAAAAAAAAAAGACACATTTTATGGCGCCTATTTACATTTGTTAAATGAAAAAACAACGTAAAAAATGTACTAGCATTTTTGTAATAAAATTAACATTTTTTTATATTGATTCAAAATTTGACCGACATAAAATAAACAATCTATAAAGGTTCAAATCAAACAAGAACGGATGCAGCAAGACATGTTTTTTAGGAAAGAAAATTAAAGTTGAATTTTTAAGAGAAACCACGTGGGTTATTTCTATAATGGTTCCCAATTATTATAATTGTTAATATTATTTTTATTTATTTTTTTATTATACCATATTGTTTTTATTTACTAATTATAATTATCTCTTAATTTTTAGGCTAGAATATGAGATATAATCTCATTTTATGTTATTCTATATTTATTTTTCATTATTTCTTTCCTAATATATTAGATTAATTGCTTGTATCTGTTAGGACACACGATCACTATCATGATCCTTAGTTATTTTTAATTGAACGATCTATTTTCTCCTACCCATAAATATATCTAACCTGTCACTCTCCCGAGACTCTTCATCATTTCCTGTTTTCTTTATCTTCTTCATTCTCTTAACCCAGCATCTTCAAACTCACTATTATGGCGTCATTATCTTGAGGCCCACGAGATCATCCTTTCTCATTCACACCAGCATTGTTGAGCTCCACGTTATTGTTTAAATATGGCTGTGATGAGTCTGAATACTACCCTTGCGTATATCTGTTTTGTTTTGCTTTTTTTCAAAAAAAAATTCTACAATCTACATCAGTTATTAATTAAAAATGACATAGAATGTGACTTTGAACTTTTTGTTTTTTTTTAACCGATGTAGAATTGTTAAGAAGCTACGTCATTAGCTTTTATGTCCCCTTATTAACTGATATAAGAAATCCTTTTTGTGGTAGTGATATATGTAACAAAACAAATACGAATACAAATGTATATGTATGAATGAACAAGTGAAATAGGAATATCAAAAATAAAAATTAGGCAATTTATATGAGTATAAGAGAAGTAACAACCACTCACTACAAAAAAATTGACTTTCAGTGGTGACAAAAAGTCGCCGCTGAAAGTATAAAAGTCGTCACTGAAAGTTTTCAATGGCGACTTGTCGCCGCTAAAAAGTCATTGCCGTAGCAGCCATGGCTGAAAACTTTTAGTGGCGACTAAAAAGGTCACTGCTAAAAAGCACTTTCAGCGGTGACTTTTAGAAGTTTCAGTGGGCACATTTGTCGTCGCTGAAAGCATTTTCGGCGGCAACATTTGTCACTGCTAAAAACACTTTCAGTGGCGACAAGAATGTTGCTGCTGAAAGACACTTTCAACGGCGACATTCTTGTCGCCACCGAAAGTGCTTTCAACGGCGACATTCTTGTCGCCACCGAAAGTGCTTTCAACGGTGATAATGCCTAAAAAGAATTAGCTTTACCAACGCCACGTCATTACCGCCGGCCGCCACGTCATCATCGCCGGCCGCCACATCATCACTAGCCACCTCCACGTCATGGCTATAGCACTCCTTCCCGCCACATCATCGTCTAAATATTTTCACTTCAAATGTGTCTTCTTCAAGGTTCGAACTCGTGACCACCTCCTTTCGTGTCTAATCTTCTTGCCACTGAGCCAGATTGAATTTGTTTATTAATATTGTAAAATAAAATATATATTATTATATTACACTTTCAGCGGTGACATTATAAAGTCGTCGCTGAAAGTCCTGTCGCTGCTAAAAAAAGTCGCCGCTAAAAGTCCACTTTTCAGCGGTGAACTTTCAGCGGCAACACAAAAAGTCGCTACTCAAAGTCCACTTTCAGCGGCGACAAAAAAGGTCACTGCTAAAAGTCTTAGTTTCAGAGGCGACTTTTGGGGTCGTCGCCGAAAGTCGTCACCTAGAGTCTTTTTTTTTGTAGTGACTTGAGGTTATGTTGAGAGAAAAATGTAAATGTCAAGGTCTGCACAAAGGGATTAACAACAACACTTAGGCGATTTACAAAATACAGAAGGAAATTAACAACCTGCCAACTTGAGAACGTGGTCCTCATGTCACTATGATAAGAAAAACACAACTCAAATCTATAAGTTACACATAGTGAAAATATTTTCTCACCACTTGCAAGAATTTCTGAGAACAAAACAAGTATATGGTAGAAATTAAATAGCGCAAGATACACCAACATTACTAACATGGAAAACCCCTCAATGCAAGAATGAAAACCATAGGTCATCTAAACTGAAGAAAATCACAGCTCTACTATGATTAAAATATAAGAATTTCCTGATAATAAACATATTGTTTAATTTATTACAGAAGTTCAGGGATTTAAATTTAGTGCAGCTTGAGAGCTTGCAGTTTAATTATATTGGTCAGATTCTCATCCTTCCGTTTTGCAGTTAAAGAAAAGTCAAATCAGTTCAGCTGAACCAGCCAGAGTTGGATAAAGAACCAACTTATTGACCATACAAAATTGAGGGAAGAATCAAGAATTATTTCGAATCAATCTAAAACAGGTTGAACTGCAAAAAAAAGTTAAAAAAAAAATAGAAAGAGTGTCCAACTGTTTTGAACCGATCAGATTTTTTTTTTTATAACCTGTAAAAAAATTGGTCATATTTCTAAATTATATTTTATGCATATTCGTACATTATATGAATTGAAAAAGAAATAGCGGTGATGAAATGGGTAAGAAATATATTTATATATTATAAAACTGTAAATTTTAAAATATGCAAGCATTGTATAAACATCAAATCTTACAATTTTTTTAAATTTATATTTTTTAAAATTGTAAAATATTTGTTAATTTCCTTAAATTATGTTTTCTTTTTATCTTTACTCACCTTATATTGTTAATTAATTGTATAGTTGTTTTCTATTTGAAACTAATTTTTTATTTTTATTTTTTGTCTTTTCTAGTTGTTTTCTTTTCGAGCCTTAATTAACCTGACGTTGATCACTTTGGGTTAAGTTTGCTAATTAATAACATGAAGAAGATTGGTAGTTAGTAGGAAACGGGGAACGTCGAAGATGGCCAAATTCTTATAATTTATCACATTTTTCTAATTGGTCCTTCGAATTTGGATGCGTTACAGTCCATGAGAAGATCGAAATAATGGCAAAACAAAATAAGCCTCTCCTGTTAAACGACTTGGAAGCCAGGCTAGAAATTTCAGATGACTTGGAAGCCAGATTAGAAAATTCAGACGAGGATGATGTTCCTTTGCAATCAAGCTGTACCATCTACAAGGTGCCACCTCAACTTCGAAGGGTAAATCAACTAGCCTATACCCCTAGTGTGGTTTCCATTGGCCCCTATCACTATGGAGACAGTATATTAGAATCAACGCAAGAGTTAAAATTCTGGTACTTCAAGAAATTTTTGAAGAGGATCCCTAGCAAGAAACCAGTTGACAAGTTACTTGAAGCCGTAAAAGGGAAGGAAGATGAAATTCGACGCTGTTATTCACAACACATAAAGATGTGTTCTAATGATTTCGTAAAACTGATTATGCTTGATGCTTCTTTCATTATTGAGTTCCTTTGTGCAAGTTATGAATCAAAGTCAGAAGAGCCTTCAACTGCAAAACCTGGTACAACGTCATATTTAATGCTAGACTTGGTTTTACTTGAGAATCAAATACCATTTTTCGTTCTTGAAGACCTGTATAAAGTATGTTCACCCACCAGCAAGATTTCATTTCTTGAGATTACGTTCGATGGTCTTGCGTCCAGCTTCCTGAAAAATATGTATCCCACCGACATGCAAATATTTTGTAGTAAACGAAGACTACATTGGGGTAAAATTCAACAAGTGCAACACATGTGTGATTTGTTGAGGACCTTATATGTATTAGACAAGGAGCAAAGAGACGTTGACATGGAAATAAAGCGTTCATATGGTATAAGTCAATTAAAGGATGCAGGAATTGAATTTCAACCTACTGATGATCGGAGTATGATTGAGGTGCAATGTTTTGAAGGAAGACGACTGGAAATTCCAAGTATTAAGATAACTGGTTGGACTGAGATTATGCTGAGAAATGTGGTTGCATTTGAGCAATGTCACCATCCTTTTAGTCATTACGTGACTGATTACATATTTCTTTTAGATTGTCTTATCAACACTGAGAAGGACGTTGAGATTCTTGTTGACAAGGGAATTATACATAACTTCGGTGACAATGATAAAGTGGCTGCCATGGTTAACACACTCTGCGATAATGTTACTGCAAGAAATAGCCTACGTTACAGCCATGTGTATAAGATGCTGAACAAGTTTTATGACCCCTACTACAAGAATAAGGCAACTTTTGTGCGTGAACACTGGAGCACTCCTTGGAAAAAATTATCTCTATTTGGTGGAATTCTGCTACTTTCTCTCACTCTCATTCAGACAATATGTTCTGTCATTCCCTTATTTAAGAAATAAGTCACCTTGGAAAAGATTGTGTTCTTGTATATTATAAGATCAATGTGTAGACTCCTTTCCTCTAATGAGGACAGTTTAAATAATTATTAGCTGACACCTTAAATATGAAGATTTGAACACTTTAAATAATCACTTTTGTTTTAGCATTAACGGCAGTCACTAGTCAGAGGGGGATCAAAACAAGGGGTCACAACATTTGACTATTTTTATTTAAAAAGAAAACTAAAAAATAAAACAAATCATGTTAGTTTAAATTCAAGTTCTCATCTTGTTTTGTAAATTTAACACTTTAGTTTTTCAATTTCAATTTTAATATTACTCTTTCCGTCCACAAATCTTTGAAATTTTGTTTTTCAATTTTGTTATATCATGTTTCAAAAGAACATATAATAAGTACCAAATTTAGATTATGAGCATATGCCCCGGACGAATCAAAGGCAAGCCGACTTGCCTTTACTTGACAATCAATTACCGTTCTCGAGAGCATATTCCAACCAGCTTGTAATTCCACTGGCTTCAATAACATTCCTCATCATTTGTTGAGGTTGCATTCAATTCTTTCGAGAAAGAGTTCTTGCGTATACAGATCCAAGCAAGTCGGATCTTACCTCTGTCGATTTTCGTCAACGTTGTTTTGCTGATCTTCATCCTTATCACCTCACTGATATGCTAAGGAAGTTTTACTTACCAGTTGAATTACCAGAAAGAGAAGTTCACAAGGCTCTGAAGCCCATATGCAGTGCAAGCCAGTTACGCGAAGGAGGTATTAAATTTAAGGCTCGCGAACAAATTAGCAACCTAACAAAGGTGCAATATTCAAATGGAATGCTGACAATACCATGCTTCCTAGTACGTGATTGGGCTGAGACTATGATCAGAAATGTGATTGCATTTGAGCAGTGTCTCCGTCACGTACAATTCAAGCTATGTCACTGATTATATAATGCTCTGGGATCATCTTATTAAAACTAAGAAGGATGTTGACCTGTTGGTTAAGAGGGGAATCATACAGAACTTTCTGAGTGACAATAATGCAGTGGCTTCCATGATTAACCGTCTCTGCAGAAATGTTGTGTCAACAAACTACAATAGTGAGTATAACCCTCTCTATAATGATTTAAACAAGTTCTATGATAACCCTTATAACAAATACAAAGCAATCCTTAGACACGAATACTTGTCGACCTCTCGGAGGATAGCATCTTTCATTACTGCCATTCTATTACAATCCCTCACCTCAACTCAGACAATATGTTCTGTCATTTCCTCATTTCAGAAACAAGATGTAGCTACAAAACCCTTGTACAACTCTCAAAGTTCATTTTCAATTTGTGGGACTATTCTCTGCTTTCTGTAGAAGCCAGTGTCAAGTGTGTGGATATGACGTGGAAATTTCTTTTTCTTTTTGGTCTATTTTTTAATAAAATAATTTAATGACTAGCTGTAGTATTTAGTCCAACAAACACTATAAAATATGCGCTATACTTATACAACATTTTCTAAGTAGTGAAAACATTCTCTTAGTAGTGAAAACTATCTCCTGGTTGGACGTGGTCCCTTTTTTATGGCTATGGCATGACTTCTCTCCATTTTTCCTCATGTAGTTTTAAAATAATTCAGATGTAATTTTAATAATTTAATTTGCATTAATTTAACATTTTATAGCAATATGTATTTAAAATGATTTTAATAATTTTTGGGGAAAAACATAAATGCATTGAATTAGTGGGCGCAAAATTAATGTATGTAATTTTCCCCAAAAAAAAAAACTCAGAAAAAGACATGCCAGGTTGTGATGGCCAATGAGTGGTATCCGCATTTCTCTCTCTGTTTTTTTTTTTTTGCCAACCTGCTCTTCTCTTGAATAAGACAAATTAAAATCTTATCCTATGCTGCTATTGAAGATGCACCACTCGTCTCATTTTAATTCACTGTTAAGTGAACACTTTGAGGTTGACTTGGTTCCTATGTAATGTATGATTTATTCCATAGCGTAAAGGCGTAAGCACTTGGTCCCAAGTTTACAACTGAAATGATATATTCTCTTTAATTTTACACAAAATCAATATAATCAAACCTTCAGGTTAGTTATCTCCTTCTTGTACCATCTCTTTTCTTATTTATGCTACTTTAAAATTTTGTGTTACCTCTTGTTTCATTCTATAACTCTTTCTTCGCCATCAGATTCATAAGTATAGTTACGTTCACGCATTAAAAAGGATAAAAAAAAAATTTTCTTGTCATTTATGGGCATCACTATGCCATTGTTTGATGCGTGACTCTGCGAGAGCACGCGCTTGGCTTCATATTTTTCAAGTATGGTTACTCCTTAGTTTTCACACACACACACACACACACACACACACGTATTTGTGACTACTTGATTAGTTTAAAATCACGGCCTATGATATGGTTGTAATTAAACTTTTCTTTGTAAAGTTTGAATAAGAATCAACTGATAGCACAGCAAGTATCTGTTTCTCAAGTTCTATGTCTCCATGTCGATCATTTGGGGGGAAAAAAAAATAAAACGCATCCCAAGCCTAAACACGAATGTCTTCTTTTTTGGGTCCAAACCTAAACTTATTAGAAAAGCTCGAGTTTGAGGGTAATATAATGCAACAAGTAATGGAATTTCGAACTCCATGAATGGATATACTCCACCTTATTTGCCTAAATAGAAACATATAACTTTCAGGGCCAAGTCTAATCGGTGTGATCATTTTCGAATTTAGATGTAGAGTTTAATTGGTCAAAACTTATGTAGTTTCATGAAATCTGAGACATGAGTTGTATCTTTGTTCATGACTTGTAAATGATGTCTTCTTAGAATTTCTTTTTTATATTATATGTAGAATATAAATTGCTAAAAATGAAATGCGTGGCTTTTGAGCATAAGTCCAAACTTAACCAGTTTCAAACTTAACCAGTTTCAAAGTTAATTTTTAAATTTGTATTCGAGCTCAATTAGTCAAAACTAGCGTGGTCCCATTTATAGTTGAGTGTCCAAGAAATTAAGTAGCATTATTTATGACTCATAAAAAGGTGCAACTCCTTAGATTTATAAGATTAATTTTGAAAGGATTATATAATAAAAAGTAAAACTACAGATTATGGACCGATCTTTTGGATGAATCAAAAGGCATATCACATTATTCGTGTTTCTTGCTATAGTTTAGGAAAAACAATACATATCTATAAATAACAAACTTAACTAAATTTTTAAAATAATTTTCTCAAATTGGCTAAGTAGGTATTATATTAAGAATAAGATATATTATTATATGCTAGAGAAGATGATTGCTCTTAAGCAGAAATACATGCAGTAATTAGTGCTTCTAATATTCTTAGCTTATATTACTTATATAACTCAAAATAGACATTCAGTACTTTTTATTCTATCAATGAAAAGGAAAGGGGAAAAAGAGAAATCAAGAGGAGATTAAAAGCAATGTTGTGGTTAATCAAATTTTGTTGATAGAGTTGGTCATATGAGCTGGGCCCGTGGACTTAGCGAGCAAAATGCCAATCTGCCAAGGTGTGAGCTAATTCAGCAAGTACGCCTTTGGGTCCGCTCCACCACAGATTAGCTCGATCGCAAGTTGCCAAGCTAGCTTGCTTTCTTTGTTTTTTCCCTTCAAATTTTTCATGCGATTCTCAACATATAAGTCTTTGTTATATGATATAGCTGGAAGATTTTGACCCTCAATCTCCACATGCGCATTGTCTCATTCATGTCATTGTATATGTAAGTAAACACTTTATATGTATGTAGATATATGTAGTCATATAAAGAGTATCATCCATCTTTTATTTTTCATCTATTTGTTGCATTACTATGCACGTCTTTGTATAAGATCTATTTAATTAATTTCAATGAATTAAGAAAATTAATTAAATTAATTATTTACCAAAAATATGTGTTGATTTTTTTTTAAAATACCCTTTTAAATTATAAGTTAATTCCCACATTATCTTATCACAACCCACGACCTAAGTTCAAAACTCTAAGTCCAACTTCAACATTTCAAACTTTAAAACTCAATCCATCTTGGTCAAATTCTTCATCTAAACCCTCTACACTCACAAATCCATCCCCATTCGAGCATGCAGCAACAAAGCGAGTTAAGAAATCAGGTTTACAGAACAGTGATAGTTGGAGGAGTACGATACTAGCATTTTAACAGAAAAATTACTTACCTTTTTCCTCTTTCTAGATTTCAACTCTTGCTCCAGCTTCGTCTTCTCAACTCTCTCTCTTCTGTTTTTCTTTCAGTTCATGTCTTTAGAGAGGTTCAGGGGCATTTTAGTCTTTCTACTGAATTATCAAAATTCCATACTGATATCTCAGGCCCATTTGGTGATTTTAGTTATTTGCATGTTCATTTTGTCATTTCAAATTTCAACAGTTATTTTCTGATCATTTTCTTTTTTTAAAGGGTATCTTACTCAAAGCGCACTATTTTTCAATGATGATTATTTTTTCTTATATGTTAAATACTTAATAAGGGTAATGAAAGAGTATTAATTAATATGATGTTGGATTGTAGTATGATTAATAATGTTAATATCGGTAATTACATGAATTTTATAATAAAGTTAACATTTTAAATTATTTTAATTGGTTTGTGTGAATTAATAAGAATTGATGAACCGTCCCAACACAAATGATATCCAAAGCTTGTTGTGGTTCACAATATAAGTTCTAATCTTTTTAAAATGGTCTAGGATTGATTTGTCTTATTATTTGATACATTTTTTTTCATTTTTACTCCTAATTAATTATATGTCTCTCTTATTTCTTTTTTTATTTATTCACTCTCATTTTTTTCCAATCATTCTTTTTTCTGGTCACCCTTTCCATAAATAAGGGTGTTAGTTGTTTTTTTCTTTAACATATTTATTATTTTTAACCAACTTGTTGATCTACTTATTTGATGTTTATATATTTTTTAAACCCCTTTGGTTAGTCTTATCGTTTTTCCATGATAAATTTCATTCGTCAGAATTGCCGTGGGGCGGCATCAAAAATTTTCCGAGGTAGAATTCGAGATTTACTAAAAGAACATGAAGTAATTGCCCATTTGGATTAGCGGTGAACAACTGTGATTTTAGATAATCGTGAATTTTATAAGTGATACTGGCTATAAGTGATACTAGTTAATCGTGATTTCTGTTTGGATATTTTTTTTATAAGTGATTTTAAGAATTGTGATTATGTTTGGTTTTTATTTATTAAAATCACTTATGGGTGTATAATTACTAAAAAGGACATGAAGTTAATAAAGTTGTTTACATTTTCATAATTATTATATTTAATAATAAATTTTATTAAATATAATTTAATAAATGACATGAATATTTAAATATTATTTTTATTTTAAAATTATTATTATTTAAAATCACTTACAAAATTTATGTGTAGTACAAATATTAAATAAAAGACCCCATATAAATAAGAGATGAACGAAAATATAAAAAAAAAATTTGATTAGCAATTTTAGTAACATAGATAAGGAAATTGAATGTTCAATCAAAATTATAACTAAGAAATAAAATTGAAATAACAAAACTAATTAATAAAAATGATAGCTAGTTATTTTCCCTGCATTGCAGAATTTGATCTCGAATTGAGTCTCGAAGACGATCCATTTCTGATGAGGAAACTATGTTGGCACTTGGTGATGGATATGAAACAACATGATCATCATAATTACCTTCGAGGATATTTTCATTTTCATACTGACTAAATTTAAAATCAGTGTCAGTATGCCTTCTAATAAAATTGTGGATAGCCATGGTTGCAATGACTATTTGAACTTGTGTTTGGATTTTGTACAGAGGCATGTGATCTAGAATTGCAAATCTATTCTTCCATACCCCAAAAGTCCTTTCTATAGTACACCTCAAGCTTGAATGATAATAATTGAATATCTCATTCTCATTTTGAAATCCTGATGAACGCCTGAAATCTGGTAGATGATAACGTTCACATTTATACGGACCAATGTACCCAGCTGGTGCAGGGTAACCAGCATCCACCAAATAATACTTACCTAATAAAGAATCATAATGTTAATAAATATATATATAATTCGTATCAAGCATATCAATTTCAAGATATAAGAAGAAAACAAACCTCGAGGCAGATGCAGGAAGTTCATACTAGAAGTTGTAAGAGCATTATAAAAATCACGAGCATCATGTGCAGTGCCTTCCCATCTAGCTAAAGTAAAAGTAAAACACATGTCCCAATCACATGCAGCCATTATGTTTTGTGTAGGATATCCTTTTCTTCCAATAAATTTTGGTTGTTCAAACAAGCTAACCACACAACGAACATGGGTTCCATCTATTGCTCCTATAGCATTCTTAAAAAATGGCCGATATCGTGGGTCATTTTGAATTTTTGATGGGAACTCACGAAAGGTAGGATCTTGTGGCTTGATATAATTGAAGGACAATTGCAAGCAAGCACATAAAACCTTATGAAAACGTCTACTAACAGTCTCTTCTGAATGTTGAAATCTTTCTTGTATCATTCTATTACCTATTCCATGACCTACCATATTTAAAAACATTGCAACCATTTCTTCGACCCCCATATGTTTAGTGACCTTTAGACCATATTCAGACAATTCAGCACAAAGATAATGGAATACACGTTTTTCCATTCGAAACATCTCATGGCACCGAGTGGGATTGCCTCGCAATATTTCTTGTACCCATGCATGACCAGTTTGGTAACTTGTTCTGCATGGCTCTTTACATAAATATGCTACTGCATACTCACTAACCAATGCACTCACGATGACCGCTTCATCTAAAACATTGTCTTCGTCATAGTTATTATCTAAGTCATTATTCCAATGCTCCATGTTCTTTAACACGCCAATTAAAAAATAATTAATGATAAAATATTATGAAAAATATTGTTCCATTAATTATTCAAAGAATGAAAAATAAAGGATATGCATAAATAGCATATACATCAGCAAATTATTGCACCCAAACAAAAGGAAATTGTTAAATAAGCTTAAAAAACACATGTAGCATCATTATTCAATCAACCAGCAAACTTCTAAAAATCTTCCTTCCGTTAGCCTTCCCAATTATATGTCCTCGTAAGGCAATGGGTTATATGCTGCATGTTGCAGCCAATTTAACCTTTTATCCGCTACATCGCGTAAGGCAATAAACATCTCCCTGGCTGGCTTAAGCATCATTAGCTGACAGCATTTTGCATGAAATTCAGGATCATTAGCAACATCTTCAATAGTGAGCAGCTCAGCCATCACCTCACCAATAGAAGTACCGGGAACTCCATCAACACGTGCACGGCATGATTCTGCAATAAGAGTTATAGCATCAGCTATTCTTGATGAGGCAAGGCCTTTGACCTTCTTTGTTTTCCCACTCGCAACATCATTATTTCTCTTCCCCCCACATACTTTGCTTGAGGATCCTTGGGATGCATTTAAATTAATGTTTGCTATTTTTTCAGCGGCTTCACCACTTGCATTCTCACTGTCCCCAGATCCTTCCTGTGTAGAAACACCTAAGTCATCTCCCACATTCTCATGTTCATTTGCCTGACTCGGCAATATTCTTGACGATGATGACTAACCATATTGTCCAGTTGCCGCCACATCTTTGAAAAGTACTGTTAATTGGTGGACAAATGGAAGTCCTTTGCTCCTAAACTTTGCATATTGTGGATTTTCCTATATATTTATAACAAAAAAAAGAAATTAGCTTGTGCGTAGTCAAATTACAGGAAAATATATCCATGCACATTAATGAATCACATACCAATATTTTTCTCTCCCACCATTCATTCGGTGCATCCACAGTATTATTTTCACTATCCCACCCTAGCCCTGTCTCTTTTGCAAACAATTTATCCCATGCTTGCCATTCTTTTTTTAAGCAGTCCCACTTATTCTTCAATCGGCTCCTGTCATAGTTGCTGCCACTTTGACAATTAAATTCTGCAATTACAGCTTTCCATCCTCTTTTTGTAAGAGTTGTGCCACTTCGTTCCCCTTTGTAAATTCGAGTAAGACATGCTTGGATAAAATATTCAGTTGTTTTAAGATCACACGTAGCCTTGGTCTTTTGGGATTCACCGCTCATATTGCAAGTTGAAGTAGTGTTGAGATAGGTAAATTGACTTTAGCTAATTGGTGCCAAATTTAAAATCAGACATTAGAAAAGGGAAGAATAAAATGGGTATGGTATCTGGTCATAGTTCAAACTAATATATATTTTAAAAGAAGAAATATAATCACGATTATTCAATAAAAAGGAATCAAAAGGAATCAAGAAATAAGATGGTATATATTAAATGGGTATGGTCTCCGGCCACAGTTCAAACTAATATATCTATATATATATATATATATATATATTTACACACACCAAAACAGACAATCACGCTTATTCAAGAAAAAGCAATAAAAAGGAATCAAGAAACAATCACAAGTATTCAAGGCGGTCATTCAGAAGAGGCATTGTGAGGATTGGAGATTGTAAATTTGTGAGAATAAGATGAGTGAATTCCGATCTGCATAAAGATAGTGAACAAATAAAGAAGAAACATACCTTTTGATTGCTTGATTGATCCAAGAAGACGAGATGACGGCCTTTTAAGAAAAAATTTGAAGTGGTTTAGCCGTTTAGGTTGAAAAATTGTAGGCAAAATATGTGGAGATAATATTTGAAGAGAGATTTTTGGAAGAGAAAATGGAGAGATATCATTTTAGATAAAATAACAATAATAAATATAAAATAAGCTGAAAAATTATTTGTCATCATTATTTTCTTAATTTAACAATGCTCCTAGAATCAGAATATTACCTGAATATTTGATTGCGTTGTTTCAATCATATGTCATCCAGTATCTTTTTTTTTTAAAAATGTCTTTTAGATAAAATTAAAAGAAAAACAGTTTCATATTGTATGTTTTTTTTTAAAAAAATTAAAATAATTACCATTAGAATGAGGGGTAGATTGGAGAAAATTTAGCTACTGAAGATTCATAGGGATTTTTCAAACGCATAAGCTATCTTTTGTTGCTTATCTTAAAAGTGCTGTGGGAGGTTAAAATCACGATTTATCGGGATTCTATAAAAATTATCCAAACACCCTAACCATGCTTCATAAGCACTTATTTGAATTTAAACGGGTTTATTTGAGATCCCACTGCTTAACCAAACAGGCTCTAAGCTGTCTAATTCTTGTTGCAACCAGAGTCTGTGGAAACAAGGCAGATCGAATGGTAAGAAGACTGGGTTTTAACAGTTGGTTACGTTTAGAAGCAACAGGGTATGCGGGTGGTATATGGATTCTATGGCAAGATGATGAAGTGGCAATCCGGTATGTATTTTCTTCAGCTTAATTTATCCCTGCTCAATATAATCCTATCAAAGAGGGTCTACCTTTCTGGCTTACCTGTGTCTATGCTGAACAAAATTATATCTTGAGGAAAAAAAAATCTTTGGGAGGACTTAATAAATATCAAAAACAATTTAAGGGGCCCTGGCTGTGATTGGTGATTTTAATTCGTACTTATCTATTAAACATAAGAGGGGGTTCCCAGCCGAACATTAGATTGATGAGGGACTTCAATGATTGTTTAGAAACTACTCAATTGTTAGGAGCAGAGGGCTTGGAGCATCCATTTGCCTGGGAAAGAAATATACAATCAAAGAGAAAATTGACCAGGGGCTCGCCAACCTAAAGTGGTTTGATTTGTCCCCACTATCCAAAGTTCATCATCGAGCAAAGTTTAGGTCTGACCATCATCCTCTTTTCGTTGAAACGAAGCGGGAAATGATAAGGGGCTGGTTCCTAGAAGAAGAGTTCCCTGAAATTATGGAAAAAAGTTGGAAGGAGGAGACCTGGGAAGATAAGTAGCCTCTTTCACCAATACTGTCCAAGAATGGAATACCAACAGGGTAAGGAACATTCGCTAAAAAAAAAAAAAAAAAGCTACTAAGAAGATTGGAAGGAGTTGAAAAAGCTCGACTCAGAAGAGATTGTGGCAAGATTACAATAAAGTTTTGGCTTAGGAAGAACTCTTGCGGTATCAAAAACCTCGATGTAGTTAGCTAAAATGGAGAGATAAAAACAAGTGCTTTTTTCCATAATTCTGCTATCATATGTGGACCATAACATCATAGTTTATATTCCTAGTATTTAAATAGTCTAAGGAAGAAATTAATGCTTGCTAAATGAGATTTATTTTCTAATTAATTAACTAAAGAAAATGTACTTAAAATGGGCTTTATGAGAATAAAAGAAATTAAAAGTAAAGGAAATTCTTAAATAATAATAATAATAATAATAATAAAACCAAATATAAAAAAAAAGAGGAGAAAAGAAAGAAAATAATAAAAATTGAAAAAGATTGGGTTTAAACTGTCATTTTTACTTATTTTAATATGGAACTTTAACTTGAATTTACTCAAAATTTTCTTTTTACCATTGGGTAAGAGAATTTTGGCATCTTCTCCTCTTTCTTTAGCATCGCTCTACATTTTTTTTCCATTATGAGATTTCAAAACTTTACAGATCATTTTGATAAGTAAAATTAAAAAATAAAATTTCTTCATGAAATTTATTTTACTCATCTAACTATATCTAATAGTGGTAATTTCATGCTAATTAGAAAAAAAAATTAGATTTAGACTTGGAACAAGTGTTGAGTTTTAACGATAGATGACCATAATATTGTAGAGCTATTCTTAGTAGATCATTTCTATCAGGTTGACTTGAAATTTTAAAATAATTATCTTTAGGAAACAACTATTTATTTGTGAAAGATATGATATTCATACCATGAAACTTTTGATTAAATTATTTATCTATCTATATTTGAGGTACTATTGAATTTTTAATGATTTATTTTTTAGATTTAAACTTGAAATAAGATTTTTTTTGAATTTTAAATATAATAATTTCAGACTTGAGAATTTGAGAATTTTGAGAAAATTCTGTCACATAAATAATTTAGTATATTATGTGCTGGTAGAAAGCCGAAGGCCTCTAGGTATTTGCATGTGATTTGTTATTGTGAATTGTGGATCCATATTGACTTTTGAGATACTGTTGATTTTGCATGTGATTGTCCATATTATTATTGAATGTGGTGCTCTGAGCTTACGGTTGAATGTGATATTCTGAGATTTAGAATGCCCATGCTGTGAAATATTTGTAAATCTTGATTTGCATATAGTCAATTTAGAAGAGCTCTTTTAATTATGATAGATATCTTCATTAACTAAACTGGCTCTTTTCTGTCATGGTTGACCTTTCTTGTAATCTAGGTTTTGTTAATAACTATGGTAGCACTTTCAAAGGTTTTACCAAGTTTCTTTTCTATCATGATTAACTTTTTTAATGTTGATTAATTCAAAGGTTTGGAAGTTATGTTGTTACATAGGTGGAGGAATAGGTGTCTCCAGAATTCAAAAGGGAAATGGGTTTATCACCAACAAGATCTCAAGTTACTAGCTAAAAATTACTATCAGAAGTTGTTTACAAAGTAATTAGCAGGCGTCTCAAAGAAGTGATGATGGGATATATGGTGGGTAATCGTCAATGTAGCTTTCATTACGGGGCATCAGAGCTATGATAATATCAACATAGCGTAAGGGGTAATTCACTCTATGGGGGGAAAAAAAAAAGGGATGGAAGGATGGTTAGCAGTAAAAGGACATTTCTATGGTAGACTGGAATGGAATTTTTTTAAAGATACAATTAGATATATGGGCTTTGACAAGAAAATGTGTGATCACATTGTGGCTTGCCTTAGTACTTCTTCCTTCCAGATCTTTTAGAATGGAGATAGAACATATACCTTTGAGTCTTCTAGGGGAATTTGCCAAGATAACCCCATGTCCCCATACATATTCACACTATGCATGCATGGAAAGGTTGAATCAATTAGTTAAAGATACAATAAACGCAGGTAATAGACCCCAACTAAATTGATCACCAGAGGATCTAAGATCTCCTATCTCTTATGTGCGGATGACTTGATTTTATTTGGAGAAGCATGATACAGGTGGATACCATGTTAAAGTGCTTGAATTTTTTTGTGAAGCTTCAGGACAGAGGGTGAATAAAAGTAAAACAAAGATTTTCTTCTCAAGAAATATTCATTCTTCAAGAGCTATGGATTTGAGTAATAGAATAGAATGGCCGTCAGGCGAACTAGAGATTTGGGAAAGTATTTGGAAATACCCTATTCCATGACTATGTCTTTTACAATACCTTTGCTCCTATATTCAATAAGGTCCCGAAAAGATTATCAGGTTGGAAGAAGAAAATCTTAAACATGGCGGGACATACAACTTTGATCAAAGTAGTGCTAACGAGCCTTCCTTCGTATTGCATGCAAACAAATCTCCTCCTGAAGAAATTGATGAATGAATTAGAAAAGATAAGCAGAAGCTTCCTATGGGGGAAAACAAGGGGGGAGAGAGAACTTCTTTTCCTTTCAAGGGAGTTAGTTTCTTGAGATAAAAAAGATGAAGATGTAACATCTCAGATTTTGGACCTAGAAGTACCAAAACTAACCTGAAATTGACAGGCTACTAGACCTTTTTTGGTACTTTTGGTAGGAATTCCATAAGTTTCCTGAAAAGAAGAGGAGATCCCTAGGGACTAAATCACAAAGTAAAAGTTTTCTAATACCATGAGACAGACAAATTAGAGACTCCAATAGAGTCTCAGGATAGAGTAAGAGGAATGGGGATGAATATAGGCCAGAGGTCATGTTAGAAACCATAAAAGAGTGATTATTGAGGCTAAACCACAGCAGAGATCTAATTGTAATTTTGAAAGGTTTCAGGTTAGAAAAAATAGCGATGGAAAATATACCTGAAAATTTTAGAAAACTTTTATAAAGTTTCAGAAACATTGGAAATGAGATTTTGAGGCCCATATGACTAAAAGTGATAAAAATACTGCTGGACTAAGGTGATGAAATTATCAGGATTTTGACTAATTATGAATATTAGCTGATTTTGAGTTATTTAAAATACAAGAAGGCCTCAGACAATTAGAAAAAAAAATTGAGAATAATATGTAAGAAATTATTATAAGTTTTGAAAATGAATTCGTTCCCA